GGTTGTTTATTCAGACTGTTTCTCTAGCAAATAATTATTGAGAGATCTCCATAATTCAGCTTTCCATTGATTCAACTCTATTTCTTTGTCCTTTCAGTATATTTCTGAAGTCTTAGTGCTCATTTTCTGGCTTTCTAATTTCTATTTTTATGTGGTTCCTGTTTTTCAAATTACTTTGTCAGTTTCCTAAATTTTCTCATCATTTATTTAGTCTGTTTTCCTTGATTTCATCTGTAGTTTTCTTGATCTCACAGTTCTCTGAAGTTGCCTAGCTAGTATTCTTTTAAATTCTTTATCAGGTACCTTGGATACCATTTCTGATGTTCTATTTTCTGTGTCTTGGCTACTGGTTTGAGACACTCTCTCTTATTTCTTTGTGTATATTGAAACTGTCTGTTGACGAACACATACTGGTGTATTCTCAGGCACTTACTTACTACTTGCCTCCTGGTGGATCAGGTGTTGTAGCTGTTCTTGTTAAGTGCCATCGAGTCAGTTCCAACTCATAGCGGCCCTATACAGAATTTCTAAGGAGTAGCTAATGAGTTCGAACTGCTGACTTTGTGGTCAAACTGACCTTGCAGTCTTGTTCTTTATCCCAGAGCTCCACACGAGGATGTGACTGCAGTTACTTTTCTGCTTAGTTTGTGGATCATACTTCAGGGCAGGTTCACATAGCTCCAGAAGCAGGGCAGAGGCTGTGCAGTATGGGGTGCCACTGGCTGCTGGGTTGGCGAGGGTAGGGACTGGTCAGGCCCCAAGCTACCAGGATGGAACAGGACCAAGAGAGAATTTCACTCCTTTGCCACTCTTCAGCCACATCATGTGTCTACAGGTCACTATAATTGCTGCTCCAAAAAAACTCAAGACGGCTACACCATGTCAGTTCACAGTCCACCTATTTTTCTTTACTATCACTGCTCCAGTCGGCACTCACTCTACCTCTCTGTTCTATCTTCTGATGCTCAGCATTCCAGAATCACCATCTATATCCATTTCAGTCCATCTTTGTTGCAGAGGTTGACTCAGTGCGCCTGCTTACCCTGCCATCTTGTCCTGGACCCTTTCCATTATCTTTAAAGTCCATGAACTTTTTGAAGCCCCCTCATATAATTAGAAGATTATGACTAAAATTCAAAGTAACTAAACAGATAGTGGGTGTGTATTATCCATGGTAAGCATTTAACGACTGGCAGGGACTATCTAAAGACTGAAGGACCAGACATATATAGGTTGTATGTGCCTTCTTCACCTAGCCACCCTAAACTCCAAAATATGTTAGGAAACTTATTTAATTTAAATCTGCTCTTCAAAACCATATTTAACCTACGGAAGCAGTAGCTCAAAAGAGGGAACAAGTCCTTACAGCAAGAATCATTCCCACCCCCTCCACACAGAGTAGACAGGGATGAGCAACTTGGACATTGGCTACCCAAAATGGGGGGCGGGGGGCTACAAAGGCAAGAAGTGACTGGCTTACAAGCTTTCAAGAGGGAACCTAGATCCAGAGGGCATGGAGGAAGGTAGAATCTCCAGTGAGTAGTCTTCAATCTGTCTAGGTGGGGCTGATGCAATGAAATGCAAATGGGTCTCTTGTGATACAATAGTGAATAATTATTATCGGACTGATTGTGAGAGTCGGAAATGTAAAGGTAGATGTTTTATAGCAAGGAGGGGAGTGATTAACTTTTCAGTCTAGGAGCGGAGGTCCCTAGGACCATCAAGGGAGAAGAGCGGAGAGCGGGACCCTATCCAGAGAAGAAGTGAGGTCTGAATGGAGGCAGAGATGATGACGTGGAGCAATGGAGCAGCTGGAGACTTTAGATCCAGAGAGGGAGAGCGACTGTGTGCTGAAGACCAGGGGGGTACGGGGGAAGGATTGCAGGGTATTCCCTTTGGTTGGCTGATAATGCATGGAAAGAATTGTAACCATGGCAATGAGATGATATACGATAGAATGAATGTAAAACTAATGTTCTCCCATGTAAACTATCACATAATTCACAATAAAGCATTTAAGAAAAAAAAAAATTAGATTCAGTAACAATATTCTGTATAATAGTAAACTTCCACTGCTTAAGGATAATAGATTCAACTTTAAAATTTTGTTATGCTCTGGCAGCATAGTGGTTATAAGTTGGGCTGCTAACCTCAGCAGTTTGAAATTACTAGCCATTCCATGGGAGACAGATGAGGCTTTCTGTTCCTGTAAAGATGTACAGCCTCAGAAACACTATACAGGGTTGTTATGGATCGGAACCGACACCACAGCATACCACCACCACCACCACCACCACCATATATACACTGAAGTCCTGGTGTGGTACCATATAATAAGCACTCAACCTTAAGGTCGGTTTGAACTGTAAGACTGGTGGTTCAAACTTATCAGCTGCTCCTCAGAAATCCTACACTCAGAACTTACTCGACAGCACACAACAACAAATATACAGATTTTATAATTATCTTATCCTCACCATTAAATGTTCTTGCTAACTCAAGAATTAAGGGATTATATTAAAAATAATATATAAGAAAGCAAAAGATGATTAAAAAGACAGGAAAGAAAATAATACCAAAATGGGTGTCAGAAAGAGACTCTAAAACTTGAGCACAGAAAAGCTAAAGTAACTAGAAGAAATGTGGAAGTAAAAGAATTGAACAGACATTTTCAAAGGCAAGCTTGAGAAGGAAAAGCAAAGTATTATAATGAAATATGCAAAGACCGGGAGTTAGAAAACCAAAAGGGAAGATCACACTCAGAATTTCTCAACCTGAAAGAACTGAAGAAAAAATTCAAGCCTCAAGTTGCAATACTGAAGAATTCTATGGCCAAATTACTGAATGATATAAGAAGGATCAAAAGAGATGGAAGAAATATACAGAGTCACTATACCAAAAAGAATTAGACGATGCTCAACCATTTCAAGAGGTACCATGAGATCAAGCTCTGATGGTACTGAAGGAAGAAGTCCAAGTTTCAATGAAGGGACTGGCAACAAACAAGACCACTGGTTTAATGGAATTAAAATTGGAATGTTTCAAAATACGGCTGCAGCACTGGAGGTCCTCACTCATCTGTGCCAACCAGTTGGAAGAGATCCATATTTGTACCCATTCCAAAGAAAGGTAACAAAGAGAATGCAAAAATCACTGAATAATATTATTAATATCATATGTAAGCAAAATTTTGCTTAAGATAATTAAAAAGTGGTTATAGTAGTTCATTGGCAAGGAGCTGCCAGAAATTCAACCTGGATTTAGCAAAGGAAGTTGAATGAAGGATATCACTGCTGATGTCAGATGAATCTTGGCTGAAGGCAGAGCACACCATAGAGATGTTTACTTGAGCATTATTGATTATGTTAAGGCATTCAACTGTACTGATCATAACAAACTATGGCTAACATTGCAAAGGATGGATATTCCAGAACACTAAATTGTGCTCCTGAGGACCCTGTACATACAGGCAGTCAGTCGAACAGAACAAGGGGATAATTCATTGGCTTAAAATCAGGAAAGATAAGAGTCTGGGTTATATTCTTCACCTTAATTACTTAATTTGTATGCTGAGAAAATAATTTGAGAAGCCAGACTATATGAAGAATAAATAGGGTATTAGGACTGAAGGAAGGTTCATTAACAACTTGCAATATGCAAATGAGACAACCTTGCTTGCTCAAAGTGAAGAGAATTTTAAAAATACTTACTGAAGATCAGAGCCTTCAGTATGGAGTGCACCTCAATGAAAAGAAAACGAGAATTCTCACTAGATCAATAAATAACATCATAAGAAGTGTAGAAAAGATTGACGTTTCAGACTTCATTTGTTTGGATCTAAAAATCAACACTCATGGAAATAGCAATTAAGAAATCAAAGGACGGAGGTAAATCTTTTGTAAAAGACTTCTTTAAAATGTTAAAGAGCAAGGATGCCACTTTGAGGACTAAAATGTGCATGACCCAAGCCATAGTTTTTTTCAATTGTCTCATATGCATGTGAAAGTTGGACAATGAGTAAGGAAAGCTGTAGAAGAATTGATGTATTTGAAGTATGGTGTTAGCAAAGAATATCTGCTAACACCATAGTACTGTGAACTGCCAAAAGAACAAAAAAAGATGTGTCTTATAAGTACAGTCAGAATGTTTCTTAGAAAACAGGATGTCAGAACTTTTTCTTTCATACTTTGGACATGCTGTCTATCAGGAGGGATCAGTCTCTGGAAAAGACATTATTGGTAAAGTGGAGGATCAGTGAAAAAGAGGAAGACCCCCAACAAGATAGATTTGGATACTGGCAGCAACAACAGACTCAAACATAACCATTTTGATGACGAAGCAGTACTGGGCAGTTTTTCATTCTGTTGTGCACAGGGTTACTAGGAGTTGGAAACGACTTGATTGCAGTTAGCGACAATGACAATGCTTTATGGCATCAAATATGGGGAAAGTTACTGCTTAATTGGTACAGAGTTTCTGTTTGGAGTGATGAAAAACTTTTGTTGATAGATGGTGGTGATGAGTGTGCAATATTGCAAATGTACTCAATGACACTAAACTGCATCTTGAAAGTGGTTAAAAAGGTAAATTGTACGTTATACACAGTTTATCCATCAAAGAATTTTATATTAACCTCCTACCCATAAACCTACATTGTATTTTTAAATCTCACCTTCATGATTCATATTTTCCAATGCTGAATATTCATATTATACATTACTCCCAGGAATATGGGTAAACCTCACCTTCTAAGATTCTTTTATTGCTCAACGTATGCTAAAACCAATGTAAAATAAACATTTGGGAGCTAAAAAACCCTTATGAGCCTAGAAGGAAGCAGACCTAGGTTCTAGCTTTAGCTCCTCAGTGAGATGCACTTGGGAGTTATCTTCTGCACTACTTCTGACAGTTACACAAATTACTCCCAGGAATCCTTCCCCAAATTTAGCTAATTTTATAGGTCTTAGATATTTAACAGAATTTTCCCCTACCTGTGATGCTCATTAGTAAATGTATAGAAATGCTTCTCGTGATTATTAGTCACATCTCGGATCCGCTTATAAACTGGGGCGCTCCTATTTCTTACTTCTTGGAGAACTGTTTGCAACACAATGACATTCCTGATAGCAGGGTCCTCAAGAACATCAATCTTAAAATGAAACAGACAAGCAGTTCATTTTTACTCTACTATGTTATGTCGCTATTAAGTGCTGTTCAGTTAATTCCGATTTATAGCGAGCCAGTGTAGGATTTCTGATGGGCAGTTGGTGAGTTTGAACCACTGATGTTCAAGTTCAAACAGACTTTGTGGTCCCATGCTTATCCTACAGTGCCACACCAGGACATATATGGAGTACTGGTGTGGCACTGCAAAATAAGCTGTAGGATATATATGTGCGTGTATATATATCATATAAGGAGCTCTGGTAATGCTACAGGCAGTAATACATACAGGCAGTCAGTCGAACAGTGGTTACAAATCGGGCTGCTAACCTCAAGGTTGGCAGTTTGAAACTACCAGCTGCTCTGCGGGAGAAAGATGAAGCTCTCTGCTCTTGTAAAGATTTACAGCCTCAGAAACCCTGCGCAGGGTCACTATGAGTCGGAACCGACTCCACGGTACTTAACAACAACAACATCATATATATGGCTACAGGATCAGCATTGGACCGGGAATCATTACATCAATAGTTCAAACCTGTCAGCTGCTCCTCAGAAACCCTAAACAAGGTTAGAACCAACTCAGTGGCAATGAACAGTAAAAACAAGGATAAGCTATAGTATATATATATATATATATATATATATATATATATATACACACAACAATAAACTCTAGGATATACACATCCTACATATATCCTGGTGTGGAGCTGTGGGTTAATGCGCTGGACTGCAAGGTCAGTTTGAACCGCAAGATCGGTTGTTCAAGCTCACCAGCTGCTCTCTAGAAATCCTGTACAGGGTCACTACGAGTCGGAACTGACTGGACGGCACTTACATATATACTCATACATACATATACATATATAGTTTCGTCAAACATAAAATCCATTCAGCTCAAACACAGATTACACATTAACCCAACGAACAGTTTTGCTATAGAAAAATTGATACTGTCATTCAATACTTCGGGGCCATTTATATAAAACTTGATAGAATTAGGTTCACCCATATGTTAAAAAAAAAAAAGAAAGAAAGAAACACGTTGGCCCACATAGTTTTCCTTCGTAGGCACTTACAAGCTGCCTGGGGATCTCAGGCTGGAGACTACAGAAGCCCAGGTCCCCGGCCTCCAGGTAATTACAATCTAAGGCAGAAGAAACACCAGGAGTTAGAGTATTACGTGTCTAAAATGTTTTACAACCCGAGAAGAATACTAAAAAAATAGAGATCAAGGAAAAGAATCTCAGACTCGGGGGGTTAGGAGGCGTGACTCCTGGTAAGTTTTGCCTCTCCCTAGCCACGTGATATTACCCAAACGCACCTCCCGGGGCCTGTTTCCCTGTCACCAGCCAGGGTGGTCTTCTTGCCCGTCACCCGCCCGTCAGCGCACCTGGTGTAGCAGCACATTGGTGTCTGGCAGCAAGTAGTGCGGTCGTGGGCAGAGGCTACTTGCCCGGTCCTGGGGCTGTGGCTCGAGGGCCGGCCCATCGTGCGCTCCACAGCACTCTGCGCACCCGGCCGCACCACAGCCGATATCGTCCCGCAGATAGTGTTCGCGTACGATCTTCATCACGCCGCCAGCCCGCGTCTTTTTTAAGAAAGTCTTCGACTTTAGCATTTTGACTTGCGGCGCGGAATTCTGAACCCTGGCTGCACTCTTCCTGAAAAAGACCTCTGGAGAGACGCTCTTGCACAACCACACCTCAACCCGAAGTTTATGCCTTCCCGCTCAAGGATATTGGTAAGTAACGCTCGCGGGAAAACGCCGTAACTATTCTTGGTTGGCTCTATGGAGGTCCGAAAAGATTGGGTAAGGGGAACAAGGTGGGCGGAGCCCGGAGCCATTTCCGCCCGTCTCTGGGCGGGGCTTGCCTGTGGACTCCAGTGCCCAGTGTGCATTGCTTGCCGAACGTTTGCAGACCCGGGAGAGTCTAGTTCCGGCACCGGTGTTTGCATGCAGTTTCATTTCTTCCGTCCTCCACCTGCACCTAAGTGGTTGTCTTGGTTACGAGTCCTAACGGTTCAGGCCTTTGAGAGCCCTGGCTAAGGGGATGCAACCAGAAATGCAAACTGGAAACGCCTTTGTCTCCTCGAAGTGGCGGTGGTGACGGTTGGTGTAACTTTTCGACGTGGAATACTTAAGCTTTCAAGGTATCTGGCGGTGATCGACCTGTTACTTTCCGGTGCGGTGCAAGGAACCCTGAGATGCTGCCAAGTTTGGGGTTTATTTTTCAGTCCTAGTCTAGTCCTATTCTCTGATCCTCTGTAGTCCCAGAGATATTGGTGCCCTTTATTTCACTTTTTCTCCCCTTAAACAGAAGGAAGGTTGTCAGTCCTACAGAAGTTATTACTATTTCTCCTCCACACATCTCTTTTGTAATCATTTACTCACTTAAAAACTAAAATCTGTAATACCACGAGTAATAACTTACATCATATAGTATTAAAACAAAGGACTTGCAAGAATGCTTAACTTTTTCTCTCCTACGTTACTATTTTCATTCTACTGTCTGGTCAGTCTACAAATATATATATATTTAAATATATATATATATTTAAATAAATAAATGTTTTCCTATTTTAAAAATATTCAATGATGCCCCTTTGCCAGTAAAATAAAACACAAACGTACTTTGACATTTAGGATCTTCCACAGCTGCTTTGTCTCAAGGATAGTATGCGTGCATTTATGTTTAGGAAGTTGGTGGTGATGGTGGTGGTAAGTGCCATCAACTTGATTCAGACCCATAGCAACCCTGTATATGGTTTCCGAGGAGCAACTGGTGAACTTGAACCTCTGATGTTGCGGTTCAAAGCTACTTTGCAGTCCAGTGCATTAACCCACTGTGCCACGCAAGTGAGTGGAGTCAATACTCAAATTCACAAAGACTTTACTCCAACTGAACTGTCTTCCTCTTTTCATTTATACTCTCACCACTTCTATTCCAACATCAATACCTGTAAGCTTTTCCCTTTTTACTATTGCTTGGTGCTGTCAAAGTCTTACCTTTATAACTACCATACCCTGACCAACTAAGAAGTGAATTTTCTTTTATCATCTACTCTGTTAAGCATTCTTGGATAATGATTTAGGGGTTTGTCCTTTGGTAACTGGACATTTTTGTTGTGTTGTTTCCTATAGGAATAATTCCTGATCTAGGAACTGGGTTTTTATTCATCACAGGACCCACACTCATTGTAATATTTAATGAGCATATGTTTTATTTGAGCACTTATTTACTCTGGTAGTCTCTCCGAGATGTTGGGTCTTCCATAAAAATTATGTAGGGAGTCCTTAGTATCATTTTATTTTCATTATTACTTTATGTTTTCTACAGTAAATGTTTGAGTACGTTTGAATATATTTGTTTTGTGTTCATCTACAGAAGGTTGAAATTGAATTTTAGAGACAAAAACTGACCCATTAAAGATGTCTCGGAAAATTCCTAAAGAATCAAAAAAAGTGAACATCTCTAGTTCTTTGGAATCTGAAGATATTAGTTTAGAAACGACAGTACCTACAGATGATATTTCCTCATCAGAAGAGAGAGATGGTAAAATCAAAATCACCAGGCAGCTAATTGAACGGAAAGAATTACTTCATAATATTCAGTTACTGAAAATAGAGCTATCCCAGAAAAATATGATGATCGACAATTTGAAAATGGATTATCTTACAAAGGTAAGACCAGGTTTAAATTTTGTAGAATATGCTTTATTGAAGAGTTCTGGTGATATGGTGATGAAAGTGCTCTGCTGCTAAACCAAAGGTTACTGGTTAGAAAACACCAGCTCTGTGTGGGAGAAAGATGTGGCAATCGGCTTCTATAACGATTTGCAGACCGGTGAGGTGACCTTATGGTTCAAAATGATCAAAGGATCATTTTGAACCATAAGGTCAGAGGTTCAAACCCACCATGTGTCCTTGGAATCCCTTTCCAAGGTCACTGTGACTTGATGACACTTAACAACATAGAGTCAGTTGGAGTCCTGGTGTGGTGCTGTAGGATAAACACAGGACTGCTAACCACAGGGTTGATGGTTCAAACCTACCAGCCACTCATTGGAAACTGTATACAGGGCTCTGTGAGTCAGAACAGATTCAGTGGCGCTTAACAGCAACAATAAAAATGTAGGGTCAGGCGCAGGGATGGGAAGTGTGAGGATGGCACAGCACTAGGCAGTGTTTCATTGTCTTTTGCGTAGGGTGGCACCTAACAACAATATAAGGCCACAATGAGTTGGATCTACTTAATGGCAGTTAATTTCATTTTGGTTTGTGTATTAAAAAAAAAAGACAGTTTAGTTTTGTAAGTGGGTGGGTGTATAATATTTCTGCTCACCAAGTAAAGAATCCTGAAGAAGGGGGTTATTTACACATAGTTGTTATATTGTTCGCTGGCATCCAGTTTCTCTTGACTTAGAGGAACTCCACCTATAACCGAGTGAATTTAACACTGCCTGATCCTGTACAGTCCCATGTGTCTTAGTTCTCTAGTGAAGCTGTAACAGATACCACAGGCGGATGGCATTAACAAGCAGAAATCTATTCGTTCTGAGTTTAGGAAGCTGGAAGCCCAAATTCAGGGTGCCAGTTTTAGGGAAAGTCTCTTTCTCTTGACTCAGGTGGAAAGTGCTTGTTTGAGTTTCTGCTCCTGGGTGATCATTATCTGACTTAACATCTCTTCCCTAGTCTCCTTTCCTGCTTGCTTGTTGAATCTTTTCTGTATCTCAAGTGATTAATATAAGCATACCTTAACCTGTCTCTTTATCATAACAAAAGACAATGCTTACCTAAATGAGATTATACCACAGGCAGAAATATAGGTTAGAATTTGCTGTATGTAATTTATGGGGACATCGTTCCTTCCATCACACCATGACAGTTTGCGGTTCAGGTCTGTGTAATTCATTGGATTTTCATTGACATTGTCAGAAGTAGATCACTTAATTTTTTTTGTTAGTTGCCTTAGTCTGCAGCTCTGTGGAAAGCTGTTCAACAGCATAACAACGCGTATGGCTGTAGCAGAGGTGAACTACCTTTCTAAAGTGTCTCCTATAGTATTCTCACTAGATAGACTCAATTTGTAAAACCTAGTACATGTGAGATATGTTTTCCAAGGCTTATATTTGTAGCCAAGATGTTTTGTGCTTCATTGAAAACTAAATCTATGATAGTCAGGATCAGAATTAAATTTTGAGTCTGTGTCTTTTAACCTGGGGCTTGGTTCTGTTTTCTTTTTTGTAATTATTGGGGCTTTTTTTTTTTTTTT